CTCCCGATCCGATTCCGATCATTTGATTTTGACAATTTGCCGATACCGATTTTTCCCGATCCGATCTTTATGCAATGCATTAAGAGAAAAAAAAGAAAAAAAGCATTCAAGTTGTCCCTTAAGGTTATTTTTTTATTTAAATTGGATATTCTATCCAACATGGATATAGCTTCTTTCTTTCACAGCAGCATTGGATCAGTTCAGTTGTGCAGCATTGGATCAAAACAAAATCAAGCTTTCAGTACTCGTTAGCTTACTGCTACAATTAGACACTGCTGCCCACTCTGTTGCCAGATTTGAGAGAAATAAGCAGGTCTATGAAAACAAGCCCCAAAGAAGCAACACATACATGATGTTCTGTCATTTGAAACCAAAACTAAGGCCTCAGGATGACTTTAAGACTTGAACATGGGAACTTTTGTTTTGTAACAATTAATTAAAAAAAAAAAAGTATTTAAAAAAAAAAAAAAAAAAAAATCCCGATCCCCGATTTTTTCTCCTGATTCCGATCTTTTGAAAATCACGTGATCGGCTCCGATCCCCGATCACGTGATCGGATCGGGACATCTCTATAATAAATAGTACCTCAAAATCTCTCCCTGATGGTTCCCTGTCCAGTCGACATTTACACGTATTTAGTAGGTCTAAAGAGGCTTCAAAACAACTTGATATACATTAACGGAATCCAGCAACACTTCTGGGGGCAATTCAAATTCACCACGACTGACAGGAAACAGATTTTCGACAGTGTCAATCTAAAATGTCCTCACTTCAGAATCTAAACGACTGAAGTTTATATTACTTTTTAAACCAAAGAGCCTAATCAACATATAAATCTCTCTGAAACTGCACAGAATGCTGCAGCCAGGGGTGTCCACATACTCTTTGCCATATAGTGTATTTCACACATAAACAAAACGCATTCCCTACTCGTGGCTTTGCACGGACGACTTTTCTTCCAACTCAGCGTCCATCTGTCTCTGCAGCGCCGCTCTGACTCTTGTCTATTTATTTCTGCAGTGTCACAACATATGGACTCGTAGACCTGACCTGAAGCCAACAATCTGTCGAGTCCTGACCGCCAAACACACTCCTATCTCGCCAGAAAAAGCCTGACATGTTTACAAGAGTTCCCCAGTCACCCTTACATATGTTTTTCACGATTTCGTATACGCAACACCTCGCCTCTAACTGCTGCGTAATGTGAGTCTCCGTCAATGGTGTGATGGCGAATACATTTTCCATGCAACTTTACAGGATAAACTGGACCGCGCCCAATTTATTTACCCATTAAAACCAGCTATAAACAGAAAGGGAATGTTTTGGGTCTAAATAGAAGAATGTAACATATTGTGGCTTTCTGTTTTTCACTATTTTATTGGGCTGTAAAGTTAGTTCACCCAAATGTCCTCAAGCATCAAGTCATGCAGATGTTGTTGTTTGATTGTGGCTATGTTTGAGATCCACCGCCGCAGTCAAATGTTTGTGTTTGTTGTCAGGCTCACACAGATTTGATTACTTACATTTTTGCAAGTTAAAATGCACTTTGCAGATCTTTTGTTCGACTTCTTGAGATAAGCGAACCTCAGAAGTTAAACAAAATGAAACCTAAAAAGGTAGCAAAAATGTCCCTATCGGTGGATAACCCACAGGATATGTGGTCAACAGTTTTCAGAGGGACTATATAACTTTGTGAGAACATTTTGAAGACACTAAATAGATTTGCTTTGACTTTGTACTGTAAGCACCAAAAAGCCCATTCAATTAATCTCCATTGTTAAAGGGGTGGCGACAGAAACCTCAACGATGTTTCCAAAGTCTGGGCAGCTAAAAGCGATCCTGGATCCTGCAGCGAGAGGGAAGTGCTTTGGCATTTGGGTGAACCGACCCCTAAAGTAACATTGAGTCATATCCAAAAAAAAAGCTCGTCTTGCACTTGTTTTGGCAATGCTTGTGGTTAGTAAGTACTTTTCCAATCAGCGCTGAAACATCCCTGCAGCTGCTCGAGTTAATGTGATTGCTCAGTTCTTGGAAACCCTTCCCACACAAAGGGAATAACAATGCATTATAGCCAAGGCCATAACAAGAGCAGCAGCTTTCCGTTGCTGCGGGCTTTCTATTTCAAAACATATTCAAGAACCTTCCGCCGATGAAGTGCAAACTAAAGGGGAAAAATGTCTTTAGTGTAGAAACGCTGCATACTTGGGTGCTTTTTGCTCAAAACATTCCAGACGCTTGTCAGAAAGAGGGGGAAAAGAAAGGAACGACTTCCAAGTAAAACGACCCTCTTTTCTCCACACCCTCCTCTAGATTTCCGGCCTCCCTCCCTCTCTAATGTTTCTTGGGAAAGATCAATCGGGGAGAGCCACAGCACTGGAGGGGGGCCAGAGCCGTGAAGGCATTTAAGCCCGTAGACAAGCAGCCACTCTTCAAGCAAAACAACAGATG